CGATTACTTTAGAAGGATTTGGTGGAAAGACATATCCAATGGCAACAAGTAGGCATTTTATCTTCTATAATTCTTTGTATCCTATGCGTATTTTCATTCTAAAATAACAAGAATATCAATTGAAAAAAGTAAACTTATGATACTAGTTTCTGTAGAAGACCATTGTTATGATGAAAGTGGTGATTTTAGTGTTTGGTGTGGTTTATTCTACATTGCATATATGATATTCTACAACAAAAATATGCAGATATAATTTTCTCCTTGCCAAGCAAAGACGACTTCTTCATAAAGTCTGTATCAGTTAAACCATTCTCTTTGGAGTATATAGAGTTGGCAACAGAGAAGTACAAAACTTTGATAGGTGAAGGAGGATTTGGCTCTGTTTATCGGGGCACTCTAGACGATGGTCAAGAAGTGGCAGTGAAAGTCCGGTCAGCTACATCAACTCAGGGAACCCGAGAATTTGACAATGAGGTATAATATGCATTATCAATTTACTAGAGCAACAAAATTCACACAAAATGTTCCTAATTAAAAGTTTGGACTTGTAGTAGTTAAGGAAATATTTTGGTTCTTATCACACCATCTGATCAGTCTGATGCATCATGCAGCTAAACCTACTTTCAGCTATACAACATGAGAATCTGGTGCCTCTTCTTGGTTACTGTAATGAATATGATCAACAAATTCTTGTGTATCCTTTCATGTCCAATGGATCTTTGCTAGATAGACTATATGGTAAATATTTCACAAGTCTTTCAGATGATATGTTTTGATACACAGTAATTCTGAAATTCAATTTGATGATAACAGGGGAACCAGCAAAGAGAAAAATACTAGACTGGCCAACTAGACTCTCTATTGCTCTAGGAGCAGCTCGAGGCAAGTAATATGATGTTTTATTTTTACTATGTTGTGCCTATATAAGAAATAAGCTTACATCGTATCAAGGAAGACAAAAATGAAATCGTATGTAAACATTCCAGGTGAAATTATAAAAACAAATTCAAACAAAAAGTGAAAAAGATGAAGAGTATACAAAAACTAGATCTTGCCACAGGCATAGTCACTTAAATAAGAATATAAGAGGCATCTATTTTGACAGTCATGAATCTATTTTAGCGTAAAGAAAATTTTCTTGGCATATGATGCATTCTAAAATTATTTATTCTTCACATAATAAACTCAGAGGCTGACCTAACTGACTTCACTACAAGTTTTACCTACAACATATTGAGGACAATAAAATGTTGACAAGTTTTCTGATTGAGCAGGTTTGGCATATCTTCACACATTTCCTGGACGATCTGTAATACACAGGGACGTAAAGTCAAGCAATATACTACTGGACCATAGCATGTGTGCTAAGGTTGCAGACTTTGGTTTCTCAAAATATGCTCCTCAGGAAGGAGACAGTTATGTTTCCCTTGAAGTAAGAGGAACCGCAGGGTATCTGGATCCTGAGTAAGTGAACTTCTAAAATTTTCTTAATATGAACTTTTCATATTGCTCTCATCAATCACTTTGAGACAAAAAGTTATTACATTTTCCATCCAAAGGTTTGTTGGAACCATCAGAAAGAAAAGAGAATCACATCTGAAAATGACTGGAGTCTGCTATTATTTACTGTGTTCTAGGCACTGTCAATCACAGAGAGACTGAAGAAACATTTCTGATTATATTCTTAATATGAAGTGTACATTAATTTATAAACATACAGAAACTAAACTTCCCATATCAGTGACTACAAATGAGATGAAGAAAAATCCGACATTTCTAGTCTTATTTTGTTTTCATAACATGAAATTTTACGATAGCCGACATTTATCTCTATGCAGGTACTACAAAACCCAGCAATTATCTGAAAAGAGTGATGTTTTCAGCTTTGGCGTGGTTCTACTAGAAATTGTAAGTGGACGGGAACCTCTCAATATAAAGAGACCACGAGTCGAGTGGAGCTTGGTTGAATGGGTATGATCCATGTCCCCGGATATTTTTATTTATATCATTTTCGATCCTAAATGGTGGTTATATTTAGTAGGAGTAACGTATAAATTTGCATGCAGGCTAAACCATACATAAGAGCATCAAAGGTGGATGAAATTGTAGATCCTGGCATCAAGGGAGGATATCATGCAGAGGCACTGTGGAGAGTGGTGGAAGTAGCACTGCAATGTCTCGAACCCTACTCAACATATAGGCCATGCATGGTTGATATTGTCCGCGAGTTGGAAGATGCTCTCATAATCGAAAACAATGCATCTGAATACATGAAATCAATCGACAGTCTCGGAGGATCTAACCGCTACTCAATTGTCATGGACAAAAGGGCGCTTCCCGCAACTACAACTACGGCAGAATCAACCATCACAGCTCAAAATGTGTCACACCCTCAACCGAGATAGTAATGGGTCAATGGAATTCTTTTGATTTGTTTTTTATTGTTGCATTAGTAATATCACATTCTAAATGGTAAAGGAGAAAGATACTACTCCTAATTGTACTTTCATCCACTCTATGCTTCTTGAAAATGAATCTCTCTTGCTCAGACCCTGTTTTTATGGGTGACTAGAATAATTTAGGCCAAGTGCAAGTGAAACCATATGGTGCATAATTTAAAAGCCATTTCATTTGCTAAGTTCAAACTTAACTTATAAAAGTTTCCCAGACAAGTTGGATTATGATTTAAACTAAGACAGTTTGACAATGCAATCAACAATCAACAGAGTTGTATACACTTTGGTTGGACTAGCGAAAAATCGGTCAAGCAGAAGAAAACATATATATGATATGAGAAATACTTTTAGACCTATTTTGGTTTTAGAAAAATAAATATTTCCCTTTTTTTACTACAAAGAATTCATATTATTTTCATTTGGTTTAAGCATGGTTCTAAATTATGGTTGCAGACTTGCAGTCACGTCATGAAACTTGATATTGCAGAAAAATGTGGTCGCAATTGCCATTGTGCACATTTAGATCAAGTGATTGTTTCTTAGGTGGCATACATCAAAGTCCGTCTCTTTACAAATTGAAGTTTGGGATTACACTACTCTCAAATGGCAATAAGGAAACATAAATAGTTGTGTTTTTGGATACAATTCCATAGAAAACATTTAGCAAAAAAATTTTGAAACCATCAATCCTCTTTTCTTAAAATATGTTCCAAAATGTCTATTTCTCGGTTGTATAGGGCAAGATTGACTACTTATTATAGAGCAAAATTTTCTATAGGCTCGAGTGTATACCAACATTTGAATAAACATTCTAATATTGGATTGGTAGGGAGTGGGACCATGCAGAGCGGCAAGAAATTGTGAGTGATGCTTGATTCAGCCAAAGGTTTTTCTTTTTTAAACTCTGCGTATCGTTTCAGATAAAGTACAAATAAATTTTAGTAAATATTAATGTATCCTCATCTGAATTTGACAAACAATTCATACACTCTTGGTACTCATTTCTTCCACCTCTTCTCCCTTAAATATGCTGCTTATTTTGAGAGAAAACAACGAATTAAAGACAGTACAGAAGGAAAGACTAGAAGGTCACATAAGAAATCATAACTGATTTTAATGCAAGCTTGAACTCTGCAGGTACAGTACAGTGGTAATATAGTTTTCCACTCAGAAAAAAATGACCTACACAACTATATTGAACAACTGATTATTGAGATTAATTTATTTTTTTAATTAAGTATTTTGCAATTCAGTGTTTGGGGAGGTTGCAGTCAATCTGACTTTTGATGTTAAAGTACTCTAAGGTATAAACTACAATATTTCTTCCTTGTTGAATCGAATTGGTTCCTTAAACACACTCAAATAAAGAGAATTAAAACATGAACAAGCTAAAAAAGGGAGAAAGAAGATTATGGTTAGCATTGCATGTGTTTTGTTATATGCCAATCAAATGAGATTAAGCAGAGAACCTAAGCAACAGAAGATGTTGATAGGGAATTGAGTGTTATAAAGACTAGAGCGTCTGTGTCTGACATCGAATAATATGAGATTTTCAGCGAGTGTGTAGGTTCTTATCATAGTGTATCAAAATTAGTGATTGACGTCTCAAAACAAGCCACCTATGGAGGGGCTGATTAGAAAAAGGCTGGGTGAAGTGTCGTATAGTGCAGTAGCCAAACCCAATGTTAAGTTCTTAAAAAGCTGCACTACTCGAGTGAAGAGTTGTTTAATTCTTACCATTCAAAGTTAACCACTCTAAAGTTATTCTATCATTGGACATGGGATATGATATATATCATCAATTTAGTGTGTTATCTACCACGATCAATTTTATCTAAATACAGAAATCCAGAATTTGCACAACCATATTCCTTTTTCCTTGTAAAAACGAAGGCACCAAAGGTGTACTACAACTTTCATCCATTGATGCATTCTTTCCATTACATCTAAACCTCAAGTGATGGATTCAGGCATATTAGTATGTTCCAAATGAAACAGAGGTGACACAAGAATTGAGAGTATGTACGCTTACAACATACGGCTTATCCATGTACCATGAAAACACAAGGATGCAATCGAAAGGGACTGAAGTCTAATGAACCTAGACCTTAGGAGAACTTCCCAATTAAAATAAAAATATAGTTCCTTTACCGATAAAAAAAGTACTTATAAGCTTATAGATATTTATGAGGAAGTTAAACAAGAGAACTTAAGAAGAGATCTAGAAGGTAATTTTGACTAGTTCAAGACTCATAACTTTTGCAAGATTCTTTCCATAAGTGCTTTAAGAGATTTTTACTCAAATTAGTTCTAAGATGAAAAGCACTATTACATGATAAAAATATAGCAAGTGCAACAATTGCATTTATGAGACACAAGATTAACAACCCAATAATCAAGAACTAAAATTAACCAAACAAAGCACAATTACGCTAATCAAAAACATAAACTTTTGATTTAGAATACTCCATTTAGATTATACATTATACAAGTATGGTAAAGAGGTCTTACTAGAAAGGTGAATTACATGATTCATTACACACATCAAGTTGCAAAAAGAGAAGGGTTTGCCGAAGCATTTCCAACTTGAACTTCAAGTAACTCCAAACGACGCTCCAATACATCAAGCTTCTCATTCAACGATGCTAACTTGCTCTTTGTAGTAGCCTCTGAAACAACAACAATAACAAGAAACCCATCAAAAACAGAGATAAGATTTCAATTAACAACCAAAATGGGTCAAAGAAAAACACAAACTTTATATGATTTAGATGTGGGAAGTGTGTATTATACCGAATTGGACAAGGAAGTCGAAGAGACGGCGAACGTTAAGGGAAATGTGAGAAATGAATTCACGATTTTCCCAATCTGCTTGAACTGCAATTCCAACGTTAACTGCGTTTGTGATTCCTCCAGCACGTGCCATCGATTTCTTGTTTGATTTTGGATCTAATGCAGACTTTGATTGAACTGGTTTTTTCCTTTTTCTCTTCCACTTTCAACTTTCAATGCTAGTTTACTTTTGAGGACTTTTTTTGAACTTTGTTTAACTTTTGATGTTTAATTAGAGCTTTTTCTTTTGTCAAATGCCTTAAAAAGTTTAATTAATAATTCTTCATGTTTTTAATTAATGAGATTAAAGGTAATGATATGTTGTAAATTAGTTTTACACCATCATTAACTAAATTTGTCAGAATATACGTTTCTGATTGGTTGAAGATATAAAAATATTATATTTTTCTCTTAATTAATTAAGATGTTTTTTAATTAATTAATATGTCTTACTAGTTTGAGAAAGTTTAATTAATTAAGCATAGTGAAAAAGATCCACTAAGAAACGCATAGTGAGAGTTATGAAGTTAGGTGTGAAGTGAAATACTAAATTTACTTCACCATCACATCAACCTAAATAAAAAGCTAAAATGGAGGAAATAAGTAACGGGGGACAATGGAAATCTATTAATTAATATCAAGAAATAACTCATGGTTAATATCTAAATTTTCATCACTTAAAAATTGACACATAAAATTTGTCAATGCATATAATTATTACATTAAATATTATAAATATTATTGTTTGTTGGCGTGAAATTGAAATCACATTAAGATAATTATACGTTGATAAAGATTTAAGGGTTAAAAATATATAAATTTTCATGTAATATTGACGAGTTTAGGTTTTAATTCCTGATAAAAAAAATTTTTGTTAAATTCTCTTCTTATGTTATGTAGATTCTCTCACATAATTCCCATTAGTCATGTGGCATGGAATCTTCACTCATAATTTCATGCGTGGATTTTTCATTTTATTGTTTTTCAAATTTGTGTCCACATGTGCATGACAGCATGGCATAATTGTTCTGATCTAACACCATACAACATTAGGGTTTGTTTTCCCCCATTTCTCTCTGCATCTAAGGTCGTCATTTTAAAGAACCAGACGTCTGTCGACATTTGTATTCATGGGTGAAAGCAAATGTTCATCAAGAGTAATCTGGATAAGGGTTTGCCAAGATGTGGGTGCAACGAAACCATGAAGTTGTGGGTAGCTGACACCCTCGAAAATCCAAGTAGAAAATTCTAGAAATGTAGAAATTTCATGGTGAGTTGTTTATAAGGTTGTAATTCCTTTTATATTAACCTTTTCAGTTATTTGTGTGTTAATATTGATTAAAATTGCAGAATGGTTGTAGATTGTTTATTTGGGACGATATGATTAGCGAGGCTGAAGTGAATTCATCCAGATGCAGCGAATGTGACATGAACAAGGGTCATTTGAGAGAATTTGCGAAGGAGATTGTTGAGGAGATTGATAGCATAGTAGGTAAAAAATGGGTAGCAGAAGGGAGGTCAAACAAGTTGGAAAAATTTCAGAGAAAGGTTGTATTGAAAAAGACAAAGAAATTCTGGATGATGATTGTAATTGTTCTGTCATGGATGAGTTTTGCAGTTGTGTATAATTTGTAGTTGTTATGTTTTCAAATTGTAATTGGTACTTGGCCTGTCATAGGTTGTAATTGTAAGACAGGCCAGTTTGTGTTGAATTAAAGTCTAAGTTTTGTTGTTCATTTCAATTGTAATTGTAAGACAAACCAGTTTGTGTTGAATGAAAGTTTAAGTTATGTTTTCCATTTCATTTAGAATTGATGCAACTTAGTTCAAGTTATGTTCAATGACAGTTGTAACACCCCAATTCTACCCCAAGCAATTATACAAATAAATCAGAGTTATAAAATTCAATCATGCAAATGAATTGGGACGTCGCAAATTCTTCTATCAAAATTCATTGCATTCATCATGGATATATAACAATTTTTAAAACATCGGATGAACCATCACCATAATATCTTTAATCAAATAATTCAACATCTACGCAGCGGAATTCTCAATAACATCTTTAACAACAAAACATCAACTTTGAAACAGCACATATTTAACAATGATCAACTAAAGTTCAACAACTGAAAATCAACAATCTAAAATTAGCAAACGTTCATCCCCCCGAGTGTTACATATCAGAGCAATGACACTGATGCGAACTACTGAAAGTATACGGCCTTCACTCTCGATTACCTGCACGTTACCAATATAAGGGCAACATTCAAACAGAAGGGGTGAGATATCTAACAATATAATAAAGTGCATGATAATTAATATATTAAATTAGATCAATAACATCACCACTTCTCATCTCATAATCAACAATAATTACAACGTATATACACATCCATCGACATCAAAATACACTTCTTTATGAAATCATATAATGCGACTCAATACTATGCAAATGCATGTGTACCATTGAAGCAGAACTCCCATCTCAAAAAATTTCCAATTAATAGAGGCATCAACAAGGAATAGCCTTCATCTCAAAATTTGTCAATACAGGCCATCTCAACGAGCATAAGCTCCATCTCAAAATGCAATGTATGCGACACAATCATGAATGTAATAACAATACCATAATTGACAACATCTCAATACAACATCACCGTTGGCCAAAAGCCTACATCTTAAAAGCATCTCAACATCTCTTCATCAACACCATTCATCATAAATCATCAATCATCATATATACATCATAATTCATCAACCAAAATCTCATTAACATCATCTCATCAACAATTCAGCCGCACAGTAATACAACATCACTCATCATTTTCACAACGTTGGCCATAGGCCTATACAAGATATTGCCTATAATCAGTTAATCAACTAAGGCTTACTTCTAAATAACCAAATCCCTACATACTACTATTATGTAATGTTACATTATTATTATTAGTAACCCTACTATTACAAATCAAACAGCAGCCTATAAGCATCTCATCTTCATCATTCTGCACAAAAATCAGCATAACAATTGACGCATGAATTAACTCTAGTCCTAATTGGGATACTAGAATTACACTTCCTATTGTGCATTTTAATCCTTAAGAATATAGTTCATCGCGTTAGCTATTCAACGCTTCGAACGACATCTCAAACGGCATCATAAAACTCAAGTTACAGCACTTTAAAACTGAATCTGCCAAAAATCAGGCAACATGGGTCGACGCAAAACCCTTTGGATCGACGCGTACTACCCTTAACTGCACAACATGAGTTGACGCATCCTCTCTTGGATCGACTCATCCTGGTCTCATACACAGCATGTATCGACACATACACCCTACAGATTGACTCATCCTGAGTCTTGCAACCTTCATGTATCGACGCAAGCCTCTTTCGTATCGACTCATCCTGAGTCTTACAGCCTTCATGTACCGACACATCAAGTTTGAGGTCGACACATCCTGATTCCTCCTGTATAATTCCACGATTTCCTCTGCATTTTTACTACGGGATTCATACATTTAGCCCTACAACCTTAATATGATCATGGTAAATCATCACCTAATAATATCCTATAATACTACATCGATCAAACAACATAGGGACATCATTATTCATCTAAAATTCATCAATTCTCATCATACAACAATCATATATTTTCAATTCAAGAACAAGACAACAATCACCTCTAACCCCACATACCAATTATCATAAACCCAATTATAGAGTCAGAACCCCACCCTTACCTTGAATTGAAGGTCGCTCTACAATTTCCGGTTGAATTCTCGTTCTTGCCGTTTTTCCACTTTTTCCAACAGCTTCACGTTCTCCTTCTTAATCCTTATTCTTCTACCGCTTCTTTATTTCTATTCCATTCCAACAACAATAAAATAACCCTATTATTCTATTTACTCCTTATTGGATTTAAAACCAATACACCCCCTTATTACTTCTATTCCTTTAAAAACAAGCTCACATCAAATAATATTATACTTCTAATATTATTTCACCACATAATATTATATCTCTAATATTATTTCTCCACTTAATAAAATAATTAAATCCAATTAATTATAATACAACTTCACAGATATTCTAAAAATAATTTAATTAAATAATTAATTAAATTACAGGCGTTACAACAGTGATTTTACATAAAATCTTGACAGCATAGTTGAAATAAGTTAGATCAACAAAAGCACACTTGGTGCATATGTCTTTTACAACATTACCAAAAGGACGCAAAAGGCACATATAGTGCATAGGTCTATTACAACATTACAATTTGAAACAAGCACACATTTATACAAAAGGCACATATAGTGCTTAGGTCTATTACAAGATAACATAATACTTAATCTCTCATTTTTTTTGGTCTTTCATGTCTTCATAAATCTTGTTTTCACTCCTAGCTTGGAGTCTTTTGAACCTGACTTTACTCTAACTTCTAGTATGGTAATTGGCTGCTCACTAGATCTTATACATGTAATTAGTTTCTTAAACCAACTCAATTTTATCCTTTCACTTTGCTTTCTTTTTGCGACTGACTTCTTTCTTTTCTGTTTCTTTGATTTCCTGGGAATTGAGTTAGCCACAACAGATCCAATTTGACTCATAATAGTTGGTACAGTAATGTCAGTCTCAGTATGCCCATCAGTGGGCAATATAGAATCAGTAGTCATTGTACTTTGTCCATCAGTAGACATTGAATTTTGTCCATCATTAGGAACTAAATCTCTCCAGCATTAGGATATGAACTTTGTCCATCAGTAGGAACTAAACTATGTCCATCAGTGGGAACTCTGCTCTCAGCTTCAGCAGAATTTTTTACATTTTTAACTTTCCTCTACACAAATAATAACATGTTATATTAGTCACAAACAAATTATATTTTGTACAACAGATTAAATTTTAAGAAACACAGTCATACCTTCATTCAATGGTAATGTAATATTGATTCCTTCAAAGCCATCAAGAAGAGAAGCAGCCCTCTCATCTCCATTGTCATTTAACCCTTCAACCATATCCTCTTTCAACCCATCCATTTCATTCCCCTCATTAACACAATTAGATTTCCTATCATCAGCATCC